TATAACTTGTTTCCCATAAACTCACATATCTGAATGCTTGGTCCCCAGATGGTGACACTTTCTTAGAGGATTGTGGAACTTTTAGGAAGCGAAGCCTTTAGAGCAAATTGATTACTGGAGGTGGACCTTGAGGTTTTAGAGCTAAGCTCCACTTCTTACTGTCTCTCCTTCCTGACTACTGATGCAGAGTGCCAAGCTGCCTCACACTCCTGCCACGATACCTTCCCTGTCAAAATGCACTGTTTTTCTTGTTAAAAGTCAAAATAGCCCTTCCCCTTAACCTGATTCTTACTGGTATTTGTTCACAATATGAGAAAAGTAGCTAACACAGAAATTGGTTGTGGAGAAATTAGGCTATCACTGTGACAAGCTTGACCATTCACCTCTTGGCCTTTGGAACAGGTTTATAGCAGGAATGTGGAAGAGTTTAGAATGGGGATAGAAAAATATCTAATACTATAAACAAAGATTTACTGTCTATCCTGGTGGGAGTTCAGAAGACTGAAATGCTGAAAGAAATGTACACAGTGGAGGACTCAACTCCTGAGGGTTCAGAGGGGAGCAAGGGTTCTATTGGAAGCTGGGCTAGAGACAATTTGTTTCATCATATGTCAAAGAATTCATTGTATTCGGTATGCCTATGTTCTGAGAACTTCAGAGCACATAAATTTGAAAATAATAGAATGAATTGTTTGGGAGAAAATGTCAAAATTGCCCAGGTATTCATACTGTGTTATGGTTATTACTTATTGTTCTCATCCAGGTTTTCAGCAGAGAGCAACAAATGGAACAGAAAGGTATAAAAAATGTCCAGTTTGTGGGGAAAACTATAAGCTTAAAGTTATATGCAAGGCTGTTGCTGATTAGGCAAGTATAGTCATTAGAAATTAGTTCTATTAAAGAGAAATCTTGTGCTCTCTGTACAGAGACAAGAGAAAAGATGACTTGGAGGTGAGACTCCACCCACTGTAAGCTCCATCTTGTGAAAGTAGAAATTCATTTTTAAGTTTAAACTTAAATGAGAATGAGAAGGGAGGAAGAGGAGTGGTGAATACTGCTGAAGGCATTGCCTCTTCAGAAACAACTATGCAACTGTTTTATAGGGTCAGAGTACAAAAGCGGATACATCTGTCTTTGTGGAGGGCAAGGCTTCATCTTGAGCTGGTTGAAGGACTTGGCAGCACTATGTGGTAGCAGTTGTATAGGCATGGAAGATGCAATAATAATAGAACCAATGAAACTTGTGCTGTGGTTTCTAAAGGCCACTGAGACTAGGAAATGTATCACAGGGTTGGAATCCCAGCAAGAAGCCCCCGCCCCCCAGAAGGGAATATATGAAGCTGTGAAGTTGAAGATTGGGTTACAAAGAACACCTCAAGTGGGAGATGCCATAAAAACAGAATTTCTACACAGCAAGAGAGAAGAGCTGGCAAATAAAGAGGCTAAACTTTATGTGCTACTGGCAATAAAGCAGGAGAGGTGGGGCTACCTAAGCCCTTTGGACCACAGATGATTCCATCATGATGAGTTCCAGATGTTGGACATGAAGCTTTAGGGTTAGGGTTTTGGTCTTGCTTTTGTATGATCTTTCCTTTCCATATCCCCACCCTTCCATTTAGAAACAGGGATGGTTACTCTGTACCATTGTATGTTGAAGGCATTTAATTTGCTTTTTTGGTTGTACAGGGGATCACAGTTAAGTTATTTCCTTGAGTCTCAAAGATGACCATGCGTCCCCCTGGAGAAGGGGAAATGGACAAGATCTCCTGAGCAAATTTGGAGCATGAGGGGAGGGGAGGGGGAGCTAGGAGAATGAGAAGGGAAGAAGAGGAGTGGTGAGGAGGACATGAGGGACCAGGAAGTTTGAGTTGGGGGAAGAATAGAGGAGAACAAGATAAGAGATATCATAATACAGGGAGCCATTATAGGTTTAAAGAGAAATCAGGCACTAGGGAAATGTCTGTAGATCTACAACGATGACACCAACTAATTTAACAATTATGTGAAAAATTTCATATCATGACTTGAGTCTCTGCATTGCTCCAGTGTCTTTTGTTATTTCCCCATTTCCATTTCTGACTTTGTTAATTTGCATGTTCTATCTCTGCCTCTGCTTAGATTGGATAAGGATATGTATAATTTGTTATTTTTCTCTCCCAGACAGATATCTGGGAAACCAGCATGGGACTGATCCAGACCCCATGAATGTGGGTGTCAGTGAGGAGGCCTTGGAAATCTATGGGGCATTTTGTAGTAGATCAGAACTTATCTCTAGCATAGGAATAGACTTTGGGAGCCCATTCCACATAGAGGGATACTCACTGAGCCTAGACACAAGGGGATGGGCCTAGGCCCTATCCCAAAGGATATGACAGACTGTGAAGACCCCCTTTGGAAGGCCTGGCCCTTCCTGGGGAGCATAAAGGATATGGGATAGGTAGGGTGTTAGTTGGGGGGGGCAGGGGAGGAGGGGAGGCAGAGGGAACTGAGATTTACATGTAAAAATAATCTTGTTTCTAATTTAAATAAAAATGGAGAGAAAAATAAAAGATGACCATGCACCTATGGGAGAATAGAACAGAATGGTCTAGTTTAATTGTAAAATTTCCTCTGTAGATTTGTGTGCTTGAACACTTAGTTTACAGCTAGTGACACTTTTTAGAGTGTTGTGGAACCTGAATTGGGTGGAACCTTGCTGGAGGAAATTGGTCACTGAGAGACCTTTGCATTTTATGGTTATAGCTGGGCTTCACTTCTGTTTTGCTGTCTGCTTCCTGACTACTTATACCAGGTCCCTCATGTACCTGACACCTTACCTTCCCTAACTGTTAAACCATAAGCCTAAAGAACCCCTCTTAAGTTGACTCTTAGCAGGTACTTGGTCACAGAAGTGAAGAGAGTAACTTGTGCACCTCTTAGTCCTAATAGCACTGGCAATGATAAGGACATAAATGGGTTTTGAAAGAAACAAATTCCTTACAAAATAGCACCAGAAAGTGAACAGAATTATTTCCTTGGGTACAAGAAGATATATAATTAGCCCCACAGAGTATAATACACAGTGAAGTATCAGAGGGGAACATATAAGCACAGTTAGTAGCAGAGCTCATGTAGTCTCCTCACCATTAATCCACAGCATAGACTGAACCTGGAGCTTCTGGAGGCATCAGGGTTGAAGTCTCCTCACAGGGGCCTGCCTTGGTTAGCAGGTTGGTAAAGTGCTGCAAGAATTAGCTGAGACCTGCCTTCATGTTGCATTACATGGTTGTAAGTTAGCTAGCTGAAGAAGCAACTGAGAACATTTTAATACTTGAAATAATTATAAATATGGCATTGAACATTTTGTCTGGGGAATGATAGCAGTAGCCAAGGCCACATCTCTTTAGCAACTAGTTTAGGTCAGTTGAACTAAACTGAGCTCAGGAAGCTGGTTTAAGCTAATCTTTGTTTAACCTCAGCTGTGCTAAGCTAAGGAAAGGGGGTAAAAGATGACCTCCACAACTGTTCTTTTTTTCTCTCAGCATTTCCCAGTTGGACAGGATCACCTGGTTCCTTCTGTCTGCACATCTTAGAAATCTATTTCAGGGGTCAGAGACAACAATTCTAACATTTTAAAACAATCCTAAGTAGTTAATCGAACTAGGCCAAGGCCAGCTGACCCATTTGAAAATGAATGCCTTAAATAAGGGTGTATGTGTGCACACGCACATACACACACACACACACACACACACACACACAAAATCACCTACATATGATATAAACATATGTAGTACATGAAAAATTTAATGAGAATGTCATCGAAAACTAGAACATTTCTGTATGATATCCTTAAGCATATCATCATTTCAAATATATATATGTATATATTAAAAAGGCTTATAAATGAAGGAAATGTATACATGAATATATTGTTTTCACCCTTTAGAGAAGGGTGGATTATTGCTGTTGTAAGAAGAAATCTGAAGCATGAAACAGAAACTTAATATACATCTAAATTGAGTGGGTATTTGTTTGTTTTTCCCTTCATCATGGCCAAGTGACAAACCTCTCTCATTCTTGAGGTGTTATATATACATGTTTTATGGATATGTATGTATGTTCATGCAGGTATACCTGATCAATATCAGGTGTCTTTCTCTATTACTTTCTATTGTAATATTTGAGAGCAGGGTCTGTCTTGGAACCTGGAGTTCACCTGTTGGCTAGGCTAGCTGGAAAAAGAACTCTAGGGACTTTCCTGTCTCTACTCTCTCAGCATTGGGGTTCCAGTTTCTTGGTGATCCCTGGCTTGTACATGGTTTCTGGGAATCTGAATGCAGGTTCATGTCTAATAGGTACTTAGCCAACTGAACCCTCTCCCTCAGTCCTAAATCTATGTTTTAATGCATATAAGATGTCTTCTGTCTTTTTCCAAGTCTCTAAAGCAATTCTCAAAATGTGTCCTCAGACCAGTATGATCAACATCACCTGGAATCTGTTAGAAATGTACATTTGTACCCTCTCTATTCCAGGCCCACAGAATCAGAAGCTCTGGGTAGGACCCACAAAATGTTTAGTATTGCCTACAGGTGACTCTAAAGTAGACTTCTCGGATCAGTGATCCAAATATGCAGCCCTCATCTCCACCTAATAGAGCATTTGGGGGATGTCAATTCAATTTATAAAAAACAAACTCTCATAACATTACCCATAATTTTGTTCTTGTAAACTTTAGGTTATTTCTTAATGTGCTTGGAAATTAACCATGTTTCACATGGAATGACGTGAGGGAGATTGTTGTTAGCATTTAAATTACTTTGTGTTATGAGATTTTCATTAATTACTTGTGTTCTTAGTAGCTGAGGCTTTATGAAAGGACCTGTGCTAGCATTAATAAATGCAAACAAAGTAGAAGGTCCTGAGGTTAATGAGATAATAAAACATTAATCTGTTTCTCCTTTAATGTAAAAGGGAGACCCATCAGGTTCACTTTATATATGGTACATTTGTCTTTCCAGGAAGAACAAAGTATGCTAGCCATGGAAGAAGAGGGCACAGTACAACTCCCACTGGAGGGACACTACAGGTAAAAGTATGTTTAAAACACGTCTGTGAGAGTCATAGAATGTGCTGGTTATACTCTTCATACCATGTGAAAGTAAACGTCCAAAAAAATTCAAGACAAAAACAAAACAAAACAATTACAGGTTGCAGTAAGTTCTGCCAGCACTTGTGCGTAGCTAAATAATATAAAATGAAGTGGGAACAGGGAGTTGCCTTTTCTTTTCATGTTTTATAAGATCACTTTCATACTCCCAGAAATTATCACCTGAAGATATTTATCATTCACTTCTAGCATAAATGAGATCCGTGTCTGTAAGATGATCTTGGGAAAAAATTTTATTCTGAGAATTTGCTCCTAACAAAAGTAATTTTCAAAAAATAACTAACTTTTGAGTTAAAGGAGTCAGTCATCTGTGTCATTTAAGAAAATATTCATACAGTTCTGTAAAATACACTGATCTTTTTACACATAGAGACAATAAAATGAACTTTTGTTAGTTACAATGAAAATTCTTACAAACATTTGTCCCCCCTTCCTTCCCTCACTATTCCTCTTCCCTTCCCTTCCTTTTCCAGCTCCCTTCCTTTCTTTCCTCTACTCTCTATCTCCTTCCCTCTTACAGAAATTTTAGTTTGGATAATTTCCTCATAAAGTGTTTTAAGTACTATTTGGTACCAAAATGTATGGTCTCAGAGTTCTTAGGCTATTCCAGTAAATAAATAAACATGAAATTTTTAGAGGGAGAGATTTGCCATGGTACTTAAAGACAAAATGAGAAAGAATCTACTGGATCTCAGAGTCGTACTCTAACACCATATTCTCCCCCAAAAGTTTAGGTGTAATTACCTGCAACTTAAAAGTGAACACAGCTGGTGAAGTATTTTAGCTCTTTTTTTTCCCCTCTAATTTAAAATACTCTTGATTACCCAGACTCATAGCTGGGAAACCAGCATAGGACTGTTTCAGACCCCCTGAATGAGGACATCAGTTTGGAGGTCTGCGCAATCTATGGGGCCTCTGGTAGTAGACCAGTATTTATCCCTAGTACATGAATGGACTTAGGGAGACCTCTCCACATAGAGGGATACGCTCTCAGCCTGGACACATGGGGGAGGATCTAGGCCCTGCTCCAAATGATATGACAGACTTTAAAGATCCCCATGGAAGGCCTCACCCTCCCTGGGGAGAAGAAAGGGGATGGAATAGGGAGTTAGTGGGGGGCAGGAGAGAATGGGAGGGAAAGGAAATTGAGATTGGCATGTAAAACAAGCTTGTTTCACATTTAAATTTAAAAAGGATATCACAGAAAAAATTATCTAAACATATAATTTTGATACCTTAGCTTATCTAAAATTATAAAAACAAAATAAATAAAATAAAATACTCTTGATTGAATCAACATATTCTCAAGTGAATTCCATGGAAATTAGCTTTATGACATGCCACTCCAAAATTGTTTTGTGGTTAAGTAAGTTCAAAACACAGTTCAAACTGCATGCTACTTTGTAAATTCATAAATGAAGTATGCATATGAAATAATAAAAACAGCACTGCCCCTTTAAAGTTTAACTTTTCTTGGTTCAAAATTTTCCAAACCTCTTTGTTCATAAGACTGTCTCATAATATCATGATGTGCTTGTTTTTCGTGTAATGCTTTTTTGGAAATTAGTTGATCTATTCTGAGTTTCTAGGAAATTCTATATTCTAGAAGGGTAGAGGAACTAAAGACACATTTTTAGATTGAGTAAGGCTGATTCCTAGTGTTTCATTTACCTTAAATGTTGGGTTTGTTGTCCTCTTCTAAACAGCTACCAATATAGTCGACATGAAGCCAGCTTAGGAGTTGGGTTAATGTGATTTTTTTTTCCACAGTAAAGAATGTTACCTATATGTACAAAAAATAGTGCTGTTTTTATTACAAAAGTTTTCACTGTGTCTGTGATTACTTTATGCAGCCATTTGATTATGTTTCTAGCTCTTGTGAGGTGTTGAAGCTTCATGAATGTTTTCTATAATTGTTTTACATTTAAAATATAAAAAAAAACAGAACAAAACTATCTATAATGATAAATCTTTCCACCAAGCCACCCAAGTTCCGCCCGCCACCACATTAAGGTTCCAAGTAACACAGAGAGATTTATATTAGGTACAAATGCTGCTTGGCCAATGACTAGGATTTCTCATCTGCTAGCTCAGTCTTAATTATCAGCCGTAATCATAAGACTTATCTTATGGAGGATGCAGGCAGAATGTGTCCTGTCTTCCTGGCAGTCACATGGTGACCCCATACAGAGAGCAGGAGGAAGAGCAAGAGGAAGAGAATGGCTTACTGTTTGTCTCTGCTTATATATGAGTCTGCCTGCTATGTCACTTCCTGCCTATATCACAATGCTTCTTTTTACTACATTTCCCAGAATCCTCCTCGACTCCTAGTCCTGCCTAACTTGCTGCCTCATTGGCCAAACAGTGCTTTATTCAACAGCCAATAAGATAAACATACACAGAAACACATTCCCCATCAACTAACCAAACCAGCCAACTATTGGCATAGAACTATGTGTCCAGCTGTAGCTGACTTTTGGGGGGAAACGGTTGTTAACCAGTGATCTAGAATGCTGTTGTCACTGTATTCCAGTAGAACAGAGGATCATGACAAAGCATATAAATATGAATAGCTAATACAATGTTGTAGATGGCAAAAAGAAGGAGAGAAAGGAAAAGAAAAGAAAAGAAAAGAAAAGAAAAGAAAAGAAAAGCTTAAGGGGGTGGAGCAATGATTTAAAATGGCGGCAGCATGGACCTCCTGAGCAGCTGAAATTAGAACAGAATTGGAAGCAAAAATCTAAGATGGGGATAAATTAAGAAAACAGTAGCTCAAATCTATATCTACACAGCTAGAATATTTCTGTTAGATTTTTTGGATACTTTTTAATAACTGAGGGAGTTGCTTTATATTTCCCAATTTTAATTATTAAAATATGTTACCATAATAAATAAAATGAAATATTATTGGACCTGAAAAGGAGATAAATTTAAGCATATGTTAGGACATATTAAACTATGAGGACATTGTTCAGATGACATAAGACATTGACACACACACACACACACACACAAAAACATTGTGTGATCCATCTTACATGAAGCACTTAAAATAGCCAAAGCAATAGAAACAGAACATGCAATAGTGCTAGCCAGGGCTGGGAAGGGGAAGAAGCAGCAGGAAGTTATTGTTAATATAAAATTTCAGTTTTATGGGGAGGGTTTATAAAATTCAGTTTTATAAGATGAAAAGAATGCTGGAGACAGATGTAGTAGTGGGTTATACATTGAAAATGCCTTTTATGACTTTTAATTGTACATCTTAAAATGTTTAAGTTGTGAACTCTGTGTTGTATGTACTCTACTATGCAAACTTTAGATAAAATGTTCCACACAGTTATAAAATTATCATATATTTATCTTCTCTACCTAAATGCCTCATGATTTGTTTATTGTATATTATTTCATTTTGGGTAAACTCCCATCTAGAGATGACCCATCCGTGATCAATATTTCTGATGAAATGTCAAAGACTGCCATGTGGGGAAACCTTCTGGTTACTGCTGACAACTCAAAAGATAAGGAGTCACGCTTTCCTTCCAAAAGGTTTGAATTTTGAAATAATAAGGTTATAGTAATGCTAACAATTTTGTTGTATAAATTCACTAGGAAAAGATACTATTGGTTTTAATCCAATTTAGACTTCAGATATTTCAGAAACTTTTTTTTCAAAAGGGAGAATGACAATTTTTACAAACATTATGTTTTTCATTATCTTCCTTTCAAATTAAAAAAAAAACCTGCAAAACTACCACAGTGGGGGGGAAATGGAGCTATTAATGACCCCAGTGCATGACAGTTTTGAACCTTCATTTTGGCCCATTCTTTCTTTGTGTGGTTTCATTGTATTTTTTCATCACACATTTTCCAGGACCACTGTAGGTGCTAGGCCACATTCCCCACTCCCTGTTTCCTTTTGTGACAGTGATTTGGCACATGTAACGGTCATTCTACATTTAGTTCATTTCTTGTTCCCTATTTCCAAGTCTCTGTCAAACTTCCCTGACCTCACCCTGAACACCTATCCATTGTCATCGTCTGTAGACACATGATCTGTAGCTATGTTGGTGATTTTAAGTGCATGCTGAGGAAGAATGTGTCTTTAAGCAGTAAGGGAATCCTGGTGTTTTCCACTGAATTTTCCAGGACTTGTAAATGAGTGTGGATCTTAGCATGCAGCCATCTTAGATGCTGATCAGAAGGAAACTCTGTTATGCTAGTTTTGCTTCTCATAAGAAAGTGGTTGATGTTTGGGGATGGTGTAATAATGATTTAATTTATTTATTTTTATAACCTTACATTAACTTTTTCTACTTAATTTTTATATTACATTTTTTTTGTCATAAGCTCCCCTTCCTAATCACTCTAGAAGCTGATTCCCCAAAGGTAAGACCTTTTCCCTCAAACCTATTCCCTGGTTGCCTTTCCTTATGTTAAATGGTGTCTTCTGGAAAGCTGGTCAGCCTATGTCATCCGTGTGAGTTTTGGGGAGGCAAAAGGCCTAGAGAGTCTTGGACTCCAATCCAACTGAAGACTGATTCTTATGGCGTTTGTATCTACTCAGTTCTTTAAGGGGCTCTGAAACATGAGGAAACAGTTTTCCCCTTAAAGTATACAAATACATCACAGATAAAGCAACAGAGCTTACAAAACCATACTTAGAAAGTAATGGCATCAAATTTCTAGATTGGGAAATGAAAATTTGCCCCTTTAATTTTGAAAATTGCAAATGTTTCTGTGATACATCCTAACTTGCAAGCTTCATGAGACACAATCAGAGCCATGGACTAGAGAGAGAGAGAGAGAGAGAGAGAGAGAGAGAGAGAGAGAGAGTACATGAGTCTTGGGGGGAACCTCTTATTGCTAGTTTTTGTCACCCCAAAATGGCATGCTGCTTTAATGTCATCTCTCTAGCAAGCAGAGTAAACAAGACAGTGACCCTAGTCACCCCAGAAGCTGGGGCAATCTTTCCTTCCTCCCCCCTACCTCCCACCCCTGCCACTTTTCCTCTATCATTGCTTGTCTGAATTCCTCTGATTGCCTGACTCTAAATTTCTCTAAAACTTAGACCAAAGGAGGTTGACATAAGTTTCTTAGTAGGCTATTTCTAAGTGTTTTGAATAGTGTCTTTGAACAGGGATTCAAAACCAGCATGTATTCCCCTTGCTTGGGTTAAGCAGCAGTAATGTTGATTCTAAAACATGATCTATCTTTCTTTCTTCAAAATCCTTGTTATAGTCCCTTTGAATAATCCTTACAGTAATTTTGTGTTTTGTCAGAACTCCTGAAAGAAACTCAGAGTAGTAAGGAGGGAAGCTTAAGCCCATGAAATCTGTGCCTGTGATTTCATATCACAGGAAAATTTGGCACTTCTCTAATTTATTTTAAAATATGAAATCCAGGTTCATGGGCTCAAAATGAAACACCAATCATGGGAACCAGGCAGAGAATTTGAGACAATGAAACTTACAGATGCTTTTCATTCTGAATTGCATGGGTCCATAGTCTAAACTCTTCCTGTTTTTTCATAGAATTGAGAAATGGTTTTATTATGTGTGATACTTTCTGTTGTTCTTAAAGTAAATATTAAAGTCAAATGGTGCCCTTTACAAGATAACCTAGTTGTTTTTAAATTATGCCTATAACTCACGTAAGGAGGAGATTGATTCTAGTTAACAGTGTAATATACTTGAAATGTGTCTACTTCTAAGTAGACCATCATGCATATACTGGTATAATTGTGTGTTTCTTGTTCTTTTTTTTAAACATATATACACACTGATCTAACTTCAAACCATTAAGGAATGAAAGTTCAATCTAGTTTTCTCTCTCCCTTGCCCTTTGCCATGTGTGCATTCATGTGTGTGTGTGTGTGTGTGTGTGTGTGT